GAAAATTTAAAAATGTCCCAGTGTACAACATAGCAAGCTTTCCTAGTTTTAACAGATCTTTAAGCCAGCTATTATTCCATCCATTAACTGAGTGTGACACAGTGTCTTATTTTTGAGGGTGCGACAAAAGAAAACTGCATTGGATGCCTGGAAATTAATTCATCCTTAACGGACTATTGAACCAAACAATTACATCGTCAGAAAAAACATCACAAAGTAATCTATGGACGTTATTGAGAGGTCTGTGTTGCTGTTGTTTCATCGAAAGAAAAGGAAACTGATACAAACTGATTAAATATGCATGCAAAGGAAAAGTCAGTGCAAGTACTTTAAAGGCAATCTGTATTTAAACTGCGCTTTGTAATATGACTTTTATCCATTGCATTTTTACGACAGCTGTACGACCAATTTCGTATGAAAAATCAGTTTCCTCGTATTCACAATTTATTGATTGGAACTTTACTGAACTGATTAGCAAATAGTTCATGTTAAATCGATGCAGACAAATGAACCTGTAAAATTGTCTGAATGTTCTGTTTTAAGAGCATGATACACTACTTAAGTTGAAAAAGCTAGATGTCAACAAAGTACAATATTTCTGGCAATAAACGCAGGAATTGACCAAGTGACCATTTTACACAAACTGTTATCGGTGTATAACTTCGCGAGTTTTTATTGAATTCACTCAAATACATGCTTAAAATAATCGCTGTATGTTCCTTTTTCAAATAAACTTTGATTGGATAAATTTCGATACAATACAATGGCAAGAACTGCGAAAACCCTCATTTTTGTAATACAAACTACATATCTTTTGCCCTGTTGACGCCGCCATATTGAATAATCATGATTGTCCAACGCGCGCACATATAATATGTACGTACCTATGACTACTACATCTATGGTAAAAATAGATATTTTAATATGGCGCAAAGCTCAAATTTAAACACGGTAAACAATTACAGACTTGCATTGTCATGTTATATCGCAAGCTAAGCAAAGAAGATAAAAAATTGAACATGCTTTGTATATTTTAACTGGTCTGAGGCAACGTATTTTAAAAATCTCTGTTGTAAAAGCACTTCGACTTTGTTTTGAAAAATGCAGCAAGCCTTATTCAACGTTGATTGTTATTCTTTCAATAATACTACACGACGCCTTTCCTTTATCGCGTTCCAGACTTTGTTGTGAGCAAAACGCGAGCGCCAAATTGTATTCGAGAAAATGCAAAATTCAACGCTTGAAACAGGCCTTATTATGCGATGCCCGATGTTACTAAAAGATGTTAGATACAACCACATTTCACGTAGTGATTAGCCGCTGACAGTGCGAGTACGGGCAGATTAAGAAAAAAGGTACGTATAGCGTACATATGGATTTAATTTTAAAAAGACAAAATACTATTAACAAGTCTTCAATTTACCTATTGATATTATTCTAATTGAGAGTCAAGCACAATCCTTAATTAACATATTCATAATCACTATACATAAATTTAAAAGTTGCTTTTTATCGAGGAGATAAAGGGAATTTAACTGAATGAAAATGAACTATTAGTTTGAAAAAACAGAGGGAAATGAGAGCAAAGATGAGCATAGCGTCCATGGTCCTAGCTTTATACTGTTCGATCACTAATGTTTTACTTCTATTCTCCTACTACCTCCACTGTCTTTATACCGGCTGATCTTTAATGTAATAATTCTACTCTCATCTGTCGAAAATCATTTGACTAAGAAACACACAACTTGAATAAAATTTTTTTATATATTCATAAATATACCAAATAATAATTGAAAACCATATTTAGGGTTGATACAGTATGAAAAAAATCGTATACAGTCAAGAAACTTAGACACTTCTCAAAAGCCAAGACCTCTTTTATGTGAAGACACATTTACGACCTTTCGTTAGCGGAGGTGAATACCAAAACAACATTCACAAACAACATTGTAAACTGTTGTAAGCGGTTGAATTAGTAATTATCCCGACAAATGGACATATTACGCTATATAAATAGATTTTGTTTTGTAATGCATGTAAATTCTTTCGTCTTCTTCATTTTTCTTCATGAACCACTATAGTTTCTTCTCCAGGTTTGCGCATTTAAGTTCCTCAAAGAAAATTTTTTCATGTCATGTGAACTTTAAGCATTGTGTCTGTACAATGACAATATACGTGATGAACTTGTTATATGATAACGTCTATGGACTCAAACGTTTCACTATACAGATGTTGGACTTTTTAGTCGTTATCAAGCATATAATCATATTTCAAAACATTGTAAAAACAGTCATATTTAAAAAATTTTTTATAATTATGCAAAAATTAACAAACATCTCATAAGCGGACACCTCCGACAAAAGAACACCAAGTCTTGGTCTTAAGGGTGTCCTTTTACGGTAAGTTCGATTGCATTCATTAAATATAAAAATGCTTTAAAACGTCTATGCCTATATAGAGTAAAGAATGTTCTGAATTTTCTTCCTTGATGTTTTCCATCGTTACAAACATTTGCTGGCACGGATGAAACTATCAAACACAATAGTGGTCATTTTACGAGCGTGATTAACACTATCGTATCTACGTCATTCGCATTGAATATTAAAGTTTATTACATGTTATTTTGCTATGACATGATTTCTTTGCAAGAAATTTTCAAAACATGTCTCGCATACATTTTACTTTTCTTTCAAGGATCAGGCATGTAAATTTTTTGTGAGAGAAAATTTATGGTTGTTGGTCCGTTATTCATGTGTATTCAGTTATTCCTGGCATTTGAAATGTCCCATGAAAACAGAGAACAGGAAATATTATACCGTGATTTTACGCTTTTTAAAAGAATAAAAATGCAAATTAAGAACTTTCAAGTACACTAAATGAATAAACCAATCTTCCATGTCAAATAATGGTAGATACAATGGACGACAATGCAAATGTGGCCTATGGAGCGTTGCCTGAGAGACTCTACGCCATCGAAGAAGGTAAAGTCGCATACGTGGGCGAACAGGGACAATGAATTCATCAATGAAAGCAGCACGTGACTGGCTAGAGTCATATCAGAAAAACACATTTAGAAGATGCACAATCTAACCCAGCGAGCAAGAACCGTACAAAATGCAAACTTCGTATAATGACATTTTGACATATTTTGGCCTTGAGGTTGAGACTGTTGTTTCTTTATCCCAAAACATTTTTTAAGCGATTGACAATGCCCTAATGTATGATAATGTACAAATATGGAAAAACATGTTTCAAAAGTGAGATTTTTACAAGGATGCGTCGACAAAGGAACTTTGAAAACATATACACATGCATATTTTTCTTGTAACTTACAAAAGCTTAAAATACAAGACAATGTAGGTTTCTATGCTTTTAGTATATCTAAACGTGGATTATAAATTCAATTGAAATGAATCGACTGTTAGGAGCAACCAAAGTAGAACATGCATATATATTTGAGATCACTGGGGAGTTTTGGTCCAAACAGGCAACCGAGCCAATTGAAATCTGCCACTTTTAAATCATTTTATAGACAATAGTGATGGAATTTAGTATGGATAAGTTTAAGGAGCCAGTATTAAAGACATATAATTGTATTACGTATTGTATACAAAATGAATCAGAAATAAGTTTGAAAAAGGTAGAAACATTTTATGAGGTACAGTTAACGCTCTTGAGGGCATTTGCGTGAAAGTTATATACTTAATGTGCAAGAGAGAACCAATAATTTAAATATGCAAATGATACAATGGTTGGCTACAAGCGCAAGCCAAAACTAAGTTTCAAACGACTTTCTCCCTTACAATTTGTAATAGACGGTATAATTTCACCATTCAACTGTCAAAAAGAACTGCTCAATTTTCTTATTTTATTTGGGAAGACGTTATAGCCTATAATACAAATTTACATTCTGTTGTTAATCATATTTAACCACGGTTAGATGTCCCACAACAGTCACAAATGACATTTGACGTATATATATATGTTTATAGATGTAGATCACCCATGACAATAAAGTCCTAAGAAGGACTGTTCGTGTTGATGTTGACTGACGTTTCGACAACCTTAGCGGTAGTCATCTTCAGAGTTCCCAGGTTCAAACCATTCACTTTAAGACATATATAGTCGAACTTCATTCCAACAGCCCTTAGTGAAAGAAAAATTATTTAGTGGATAAGAAGAATCTAGACAAATTACTGAATTATACGTCCAAAGCCACGAATCAATGTTGAATGTCGTGGAATGGTATTGGTGAGGTTGAAAGATCGATGCTACTCCAAAAGCGAACTAGCTAGTGAAGTGGGTTACAGCTAAAGAAATGTCAGTGACTATGTAGAGAGTAAGAACTGTGGAAACTATGGTCCAAAACTAAAATCCCAAGAATGAACTGTGGGAGAGTATCCATATTGCTTGGTGAAATTATCACGTGAAAGCCTAAAAAATCCTTCATAGGTATATAGCATGGCTGGAGGAAGGCTTACCAAATACTATTTAGTTGGTGGTTTTTATAGATTGACTTTACACTCTCCAACAATTGGCCATAACGAAATATTTTGAGTTTTTTTTTTAGTGTATAATTACAATGTTTATTATACATTGAAATATTTACAAATCACCTACAACTCATTTCACATATTTTATTAAAACAGAGATAAAATATTTTGGTGTAAGTAAGTTGTTATAGAGAAAGCGTAACGTTATTGTGAAGTGGTTTTACCTTATGGTTTCTTGATAGTCCTACACGTAATGGCGGACCTGGATTCTTAATTTTAACACCGCCAAGAGAAAAAGAACCGCTGGTTTTGTTTGTAAACGGTTTAGGTGAAGAAAATGTTGAGATTGTCCCCTCATTTTTCATATGCTTAACGCTCTCTTTAGAAGAATTTATAGGTGATGACTTTTTCTCCTTTGTACCAACGCAAGAAAATGTGGAAATTTTCCCTTCATTTTTCAAATGTCCAAAGTTCTCTTTGGAAGAATTTATAGGTGATGACTTTTTCTCCTTTGTACCAACAACAGGGGTGCATTTGTAGTCGGATGACTCTTTTTAAAACAAATGTGTATCAAAAATTTGTTATTATAAGCACTCGTCAGAAGAAAAACTAATAAGAATAACACGAAAGACAAGCTGCGAGCAAATGCAATTACGTATGTATCAAACTGTTTTGATATTTTGATTGTATAATCATGCCAACTGCATTTTGGTTATTTCATTATATGCAAATAGGACACTTGAAATCAATGATAATTTTTATAAATACAAAAATAAAGCCTACCGGAAAACATATGACTCCCACCAGACATTTTCTTTCCGTTCTTTAGGTTCACAATTTTCTTCATTGGAATCACTTTCGACATCATTGTCATGAATCTTGTTCACTTTAGCACTACTCTTATCGCAGGTGTCACGTGCATCGCAGGTGTCGCGTGCATCATCATCTTAATTAGATTAAATGAGTAAGAGAGCAATCAGCATTATATGTACATGGTACTGCATCTTACCTAATAATGATGATGTATTTTCATTTTGAATCACACACTACAATACCATGCAAAAAGTCAATTAGAAAATTTATCACGCCATTAAAAGTAGTACTACATGCAACACATAACTATCTTCATAGGTACATCACTATCTTCATCCATACATCACTACCTTCATAAATCCCCACTCCACCTTTATGTATCCCCACCATACCTTCATACATTCCCACCATCATACATCCAAACCTTCATGCATCCACAACTTGATACATCTTTAACTTTATGAATACCCACCCTTATACATACACACCTTCATCCATACACACCTTCATCCATGCACACCTTCATATGTCCGCACTTTTAAACATTCCTAATTTTAAGGCTACCCAGTTATAAGTGTGATTGATGGATATATGCTACTATGTGCCTAAATTCAACAGTTAAATTCAGACCACTAAGAGTGGTGACTAGTTTATAAAACTCTGAGAAAATCCTTCTCTGTCCTCATTTAGTACAGTATAACAAAGTTGTCATTTTCAAAACTTGTGCTTTTGACTGATTACTCTGTAAACATTATGAGTTTAAAATTAAGGGCTTTGTGATGGGAAAAAGAGTCTTACTAAAATGTGAATTTGAGGTCAATGTAAGACAGCATTATATAATGCTTAACAATGAAAAACTTTAAAATTCTAAAATCATTGTTTGAATTGGATTTACTTCATTACTGCGTAGATTAGGGCAGCTTCCCAACCTTTTTCCTCTTTCATGATGTCTGTAATCATGATGTAATCACTTTTCACAGTTTCATTTATAATTTTACATACCGATACCTTCACTATTTATTTTGATATGACTGCTTTCATTTTGTCCAACATCATTATCCTTTCTGTCATAAGGTGTATTTATTAGTGACATTTCAATTGCTTTTTCTATATCTCTTTGGTACAACTTTTCACGAACGGAAGGCCTTACAATAGAAAAAATCTCATGACGTTGTTGTATCACACATTGAAGAAATTAGTGTGTACATTGGATTACACAAGGCAAAACAAAGGCTTATAAAGGATTAGAGATCTACTATAATACCTGTGTAAAACAGCATGATGCCCTTTACCCAAAATTAAAAATCTATTTTTGGTCACACCTTCTCTCGCCTTTCTTCTCTTTGTTCATTTCCTTCTCTTTATGCTTCGCCTTCTTTGTTTGTGGTTCAAAATCAACTTCAAAATCATCTGAAACATATCATGAAGTCATAAATACAAAAACTTAGCAATTTAAAACAAGAGAAATCTATAGAACATTCAGGCATGACATTGAAAAGGAAGTAAAGTATGGATCCCAGTATATATTTATTGCATATCTACCAAATTAATAATCTCAACTTTTTCACAGTAAAACAATGTAAAATGTTTAATAGTGCACTAGATCAATCATGCAGCCAGTAAATAATTGTGGGGCCTACATTCACATTTGTTGCATCAGTATTTTTTTGAACAGTGTCTATGTAGGTACATGTAAACTGATACAATATAAAATGTACCCTTCTCCTACCTATGTAAACCAGAGTGTATAACCACATACTTTACTGTAAAACAGAGCAATTATAATTTTCATTAATAGCTACGTAGCTATGAGATCACTGTATGTACAATACATTACCATCACTTTCACAATTGGAGCTCATATCAGTATAATTAACATTTTTTCTCCCTTTCCTGCAAGAGATGATGGTGAAAATAAAACATGAGTAAAGCTAAATGCTTGTAGATGTAGATCTTCAAGTTAGAGCAGTCCTGAAAAAGACTGTTGGTGTTGTTAATGATTGATATTTTGACATCCTTTGATCATCAGAGTCAAGTAACACACCAACACCAAGAATTCTTTTCAGGACTGCACAAAGCTGGACGATCAACATCTAAAAAATATAACATAATAGGCAATAAAAATTATAAATTCTAATATGAAAATCGTCCCTGCATTATTAATCACCAATATTGTCAACCAACAGTAAAACATGTTTCACCCATATGCCATACCATAGTATTGATAGTACAAATTGGAATCAAGTGACAAATTTTAGAATTCTTACCTTTTAGATTTTCGCTTAAAGGTCATCTTTAATGCATATTTACAAAATTAAAAATTATGCTATCAGAGAAAATACTAATGAAGTTAGGATTCAAGTTTAACTTCTCGTGGTTTTAACATGATTTTCATTATGTAGTTGAATAATCTTATAAAGTTTCGCGCCTTGGCGTCATTACACTGGATCATATCATTACACTGGATCATACACTGGAAAAATGCATTTTTGTGTATTTCTTTACTTCTAAACTCATAATAGAGCTTAACAAACAGTGATACATTATGAAAAAAGTATTTTTGTCTTGTTGAAACACTGCTTTAGGCTTTTAAATTATTTAAATCAAAGTTTGCTTTTGCATAAAGACCTTGGCACCTGCAAAAGGGGTAAGAAATATTTAAGTTTCCGTTGCTAATAATCGTAAAGAATGTCAATCACAACAAAGATACCACCTTTACAGCTAAAAAATTCACCATACATTGTCAAGATTAATTTTAAAAGATAAATTTAATTTCCTGCGAAAGATGAACGATTGTCTGAATATTATCTACAAGTACAGCTCGTATTTAAGCACTTTTACGTAGAATTTCTTTTTTTTTGTCTTTATATATAACCAAGGAAGGAATGGCGCAAGCATCACAGCGCAAAAAAACGGTATATTTGTAATTTTCCGTGAGATGAAAAGATTTTTTCTTGTAAAGCATGTAAAATTGTAAGCCTGGACTAAGAAATTTATACATAACATAAATTCAATGAGTTCTCTTTTTGGTCGAGTCCTGTGTTTAAATCAGGCCATCGAAACACCGAAATTTAAATAGCCAAAATGAAATTTAGAATTTTCTGAATATTTTTTAAGATCTATCAGAATAATTAACACCGAAATGTGTTCATGTGTACTTTAAAATACAATCACGACAGAGCTCAAGAGCTATACTACTTTTCAGGAAATGTTAGGATGCATTGAACTATCATAAAGACACGGCGTTTTCAACAAAAGATTCTGATAATGACAATATGAAGGAAGCTGCGCTGCTTACTGGCAAGGTGCTTGGTGGTATAATATTGTTATTATAGCAACCTAAATGGTAAAAATCTTGCTTGGCTTGGTTTTAATAACGTGAAAACCAGTGAAATGAAAATCAAATCATGAAGAATTTTCATAAATATTTATGATTTCATGACAATGATCAATATCAAAATACGTCATGTAATATGTCTTAAACATTTACACTCGTTGTTTACTATGAGAAAATGTGCAAAAAAATTGTTATAGATAGAAGTCAACAAAACTGTAATCATTGCATGAAATATTAAAAAATATTGTTTCAATCAATGATGTTGATGAAATATGAGTTTCTAACATGTTTATCTAAATGAAGTTGATGTAATTAAATCATACTCAAAACGACTGCGGCTTTTTGAGTTTGTAATGTGACTGTTTTCGTCTTCTTGGACATGAAATGAGTTTTCACATTACTAATGCTTACACAGTTACACGTTTAAAAGCATTTAACTAGTGCTATTGTGGGCATCAGCCATCTTGGGTGAGCCACATTGTTGGATAAGTCCCTGGAGGTTTGTTGCAATTCAAGAATATAAAACCCCTAAACACAACCACAATCGCAACACCCCAATCATATTTAACTGCTTTACAAGAGCAATATATGTGGTGCTTTAATATGATCTCAAAGAAAAATCTCACGAAAGTTCAAATAAAAGAGTTGATTTTGTTTGAACGAAGTGGACGCTGAATTCACAAGTTTCTATTTCTATGTATGCTCACTTGAATGTTCTCTTGGAGTCAAAGTTCTCTGCTGTCAACATTAAAGTATGTCACTAGAGCTTTTCTTTTCATGATTTGTGTTTATCATACATATCCAAATTAACATATATATTACATTTAAAGTAGTTTATGGCGGTTTTTTGTTGAAATCATTTATACTTAATGATCAAGTATTAATCATTGAAGAATTATTCAGATAGCTGCAACTTTAGATATGTTGTCAACTTGACACTGACAAAATATTAGATTGAAGGCCAAGCCTATTGTAAAAATTCAATGCATTGGAAAACGACATATCAAAAGTTTTACCAAGGACAAGCAGTTCTTCAATGGTGGGAGAATGTAAGTTATACTCATAATATATCTAAAGTTTGTAAATCATATAATTATAAATGCTGAAAGATTGGCTACCTACTACTGTTCTTTACAGTCTGTCTGCAGAAACAATTGATAGCGTAGCCAGAAAGCAAGCCTTTCTTGGCTTTATTGGTTTTCGGAAAAAATTTGCCATACTATATTCAAAACATGTGCATGTCCTGTCAGCCTGTCAGTGCTGATGCTTGTCCTCCAGATGCGCCTTAGCAACGATTGCTAGGATGTTAATGACGTGATGCAATTGGTCTATAGAAACAAACAGTAGTCTCAATTTACCGTGTAACTTTGTGCTGTATATTTAATTAAATTACTGGCTGCGACTCCACCTTAGCACTCCTATTGGTCAGAAAATGCAAATTACTGGCTGCCACTATGCTTATTACATGCGTAATAAGATATGCGCTACACAAAAATTTCTATAAAGTGAAACTATTGTTTGTTCAATACTGCCGTTAGATCAACGCCGACTGTTAAAATAAAGGCATCTGATCAATAAAGTTAAAGGTACGTTTTGAGTAAATTGACCTCTGACATATATGATGTCTTTAAGTCAAAGAATTGTGATGTCAATAAATAATGAATTATTATTAGTTTAGGGCCTGTTCATATGTGCTGGGCTGGCTGACTTTGCTAGGCCAGTTTTTATTTGATTCGCATGAGGCGGGCTAGCCCGACAAAGTACGGAAATAATTATTTACGCACGCAGCATAAAAGTCCAAACCCGATTGTTTATGTTACTTTATAAGCTGAAAGAAACTCAATGATGTTATGCATTAGTCTATGGTCCACCTAAAGTTGCTCTTTTGCTTGCCTTGTATTTTGCATCGCATTGATTTTATGAGCATGCGCACTAGTACGATGTTTAACACGGCATGCCGGTCTAGCCTGCCTTGTGCATTCACATGAGCCCGTTTATGCCGAGATCCCGCCTCGTTTAAGCGACATCCCGGTAAAACGGCCAGCCTGTCGCTCATATGAATCAAATTTGAAATTATATGTAAATACTAAAAGAGGTGAGATCTTGCTACTACCGGGCTAGCTCGGTAAAGGGCCAGCCCGGCTCATATGAACAGGCCCTGTATACATACACTTGAAATTGTAAACACCCAGTTTATAACTTATGTTTAGATTATGTGTATAACTTACACTTTCCATAATTACAAATTGTTTTTCTCTTGCAAATAAGTGTTTCATTATCGTTACACGAGTTAATTGTATTCAAGTAAGTCTTGAATGCAATGAAGCTTGGTACGTTGGCATGGCTACTATGTAACAGAGAACATGCATGTTAAAGTCTGATTGGATCTACATGCTCTTACATATTCAGTCATAACAAATATATATAATCAAAGTTTTATTTTGACGAAACTTTGTAATGGTTCAAAACTTATTATTGCAAAAAAACACTCAGTCGTGTACTTGTGAAAGTGGTAGCCGGTTTTCTAACTGCAGGCGTCGAATTATTCTAACGTTGCACTTTATTCAACAACATACTTACGTATAGCGTGACGAATTCCTTTATAATTTATTGTGATTGTGGCGCTGATCCAACCTTGCATCTCTATAATTACAGGATTTAAAAAATGCGTATATTATAAGTATACTTACACCTTCCCACTAATGTATATTGTGCTGTTTCATGGCTTAAGTAAGTATATCATTTTTCAATGCATTTGAATTTTTACAATAGGCAATATAGCTCTTCGATGTCATAAATTGTGATTTTCAAGTTAACACCATATATCTAAAGTGATTCTTGAATGATTGATTTGTTCAGTTGACATCAAGAGCACATTCAAATGAACATACATAGAAATAGAGACTCCCGAGAGCTCAGGTAGCAACAACTTTGCACGAACTTTTCAATGCAAATTAGAGTTTTTACAACCTACCCGCGACTTGCGTGAGTTAGACAAACTCCAAAGTGTTGTATACCAACAAATCGAAAACATTAAACAAGATTCCAAAATCCCAAGAAGCGTGTTTTTAGTATACTAAGCATTGCGGCGGATCTAATAAGAAGAAGAAATTTTTGCTTATAAACTTAACAGAATTTTAAAAAACACTTGAGAAAAACGACGATTTTTTTGAGAGCAAACATGTTTCGACATTATCAGAATGCCATCTTCAGTGAATGGTTAGTGTTATAATATGATACGGCTATGATATGAATAAATTAATTACAATGAATAGGATTATGATTCAGTTACTAAATATAAAAATATTTACAAAAAGGAAAAGAAAAATAAGTATTAAGAACTTATAAACAAAAATATTATTATAAAGTAAATATAGTGTTGTAGTGGTGAACTTGATATTTAAATCGGGATTAGTTTTATTAATGTGTAGAGCTTCCTTTGATTTTGAGTGAAAGTGGATTGATCAGTGTCGATGATTTTAAAACAGGAAGGTGAGAATTTGTTTTACATGAAGGAGAGGCTTGAAGATGTTTGTAGATAGTGGAGTTTTTTGTCTGTGTGGAGTATGTTCCTTATCCTGGTAGATAATTGGCGAGAAGTTTCACCCAATATAGTGGGAATTACATCCCGCACATGAAAATTGATAAACTACCATAGATTTGGAAAGTTCGGGAAGTGGGTCTTTAAACGAAAATAAAGATTTTATTTTAAAAAAGATGTGAAAATAAGTTTAACGTCACTGCCAGTGCAGTAGCGTTTAATGATTTGTGTGAGTTTGCGTTGTGTGTGCCGTGAGTAATCACCTATGGGTAGTTTGAAATAACGTTTATTGTCATGTTGTTGTATATCGTTAGTGTTAGTTGTGGCGTTAGATGAGTCAGTGCTATCTTGTTGTCCAAATAGTGTTGTATAGTGTTGTTGATGAAATGAAAAGGAAAAGAATTACGTTGAGAGTGAATATTAGTTTCTTTAAATCACGTTGAAAGCCGATGTCTGTGTTGTTAAGTTTCCGTGCTCTGTCGGTCAAAGTGTCGTATCAGTCCAATTTTGTAATTTAATGGTGTGAAACTAAAAAGTTAGTCAGTAGTCCTGTATATGTTGGTTTGTGGTACGTAGAGGTCATACAGTTTTCATGTGATTTAGTTAGTAAGATGTCAAGAAAGGGCAACTGATTGTCTTGTTCGGTTTCGTATGTAAAGTTTATGTTTTGATGTTGTTTGTTGATGTATTCGTAAAAGAGTAATGCTTCGTCTTTGTTATGAAAATAAAAAATGTCGTCAACGTATCTGCGGTAAAATAAAGGTTTGTTGTTGCGTAGTTATTTAACCAGTTTCTGTTCGTGAAAACCCATGAAAATGTTGGCTAAAATGGGTGCCAAGGGTGAGCCCATACTTACTCCCGTCAATTTGGTCGTAGTACTTACCGTTAAATAAAAATGAGTCTCGGCCGTAGCGATGTTAAACAATAGTTTTAGTTCTGTTCTGTTCATTTTGAATGTAGGGTTGTTGGTAAAAATTAAATCAATAGCAATGTCTATGGTTTCCTCAGTGGTATGTTGGTAAAAGGCTTTCAACGTCAAAAGAAATAAAAGAATTTGTCATGTGGAGCGTTAGTGTTAAAAGATAAAAAATCATCGACAAAACTAAAAGAATCTTTAGCAGAATGGTCATTAGGTATTAGGGGTTGGAGTAAAGAGCTGAGGTATTTGGCTAATTTGTAGTTATACGAATTGATTGAAGAATTTATAGGTCTGATAGGAGGTATGTCATTGATATTGTTTAATTTATGAAGTTTAGGTAAACCATATAATCGAGCTTGGCTGTGAACCCTCTAGGGTACATTTCTTGAAATGATTTTTCGTTAATAGCGTTCTTTTCTTTAAGTTACGTAGCAGTCGTTGTAACTTTGCTTCACGGGAAATTGTAGGATCATGATCGAGTGGTTTGAACTTAGATAAATTGTTAATTATAGTGAGGCAAGAGTTAATGTATACCTGACGATCCATAATGACTACACCATTGCTCTTTGTCAGGTTTGAGAACAATGATTTTGTCATTATTCTCAAATTCAGAATTTTGCTAGCATTGACTGAATTAAACGAGGAAGTTCTGTACATGAACTTAACTGAAATTCTTGGCTAACATTGACTGAATTTACCGAGGAAGTTCTTATTTATAAACTTAACGGAAATTTTTGCTATCATTGACTGAATTAACCGAGGAAGTTCTTATTTATAAACTTAACGGAAATTTTTGCTATCATTGACTGAATTAACAAAGGAAGTTCTTATTTATAAACTTAACGGAAATTTTTGCTATCATTGACTGAATTAACAAAGGAAGTTCTTATTTATAAACTTAACGGAAATTTTGCTATCATTGACTGAATTAACAAAGGAAGTTCTTGTTTATAAACTTAACGGAATTTTTGCTAACATTCACTGAATTAACTGAAGTTCTTATTTATAAACTTAACGGAAATTTTGCAAACATTGACTGAATTAACCGAGGAAGTTCTTATTTATAAACTTAACGGAAATTTTTGCAAACATTGACTGAATTAACCGAGGAAGTTCTTATTTACAAACTTAACGGAAATTTTTGCTATCATTGACTGTATTAACAAAGGAAGTTCTTGTTTATAAACTTGTTGGGAATTTATAACTAGCACAAACCTAACTATACTTAAAAAAGGAAATTCTTAGCTAATTGTTTCAAGTATGAAGTTATTAACTCATTTCTTCACTCAGAGTTAATATAGAATAATAGAAATATAGAATTCCCTAAGCATATTACTTTGAAAGAATTATATAAAAATTTTAAAGGGTTATTCAAATGCCTCGTATTTTATTAAGTTTCTTTATATTAACACGTCCTCAATCAAATAAACTTTGAGTGAAAGACAAACAAATTAACTGACCATTTATTCGTAAACAATGTTCTTTTTATTTAAAAAGAGATTATTCTGCCACCCACCTCCAAAGACTTGCTTCATTGAAAAGTTTGTAGTGAAATTACGACTTCAAGTGCGAGTGTAATGTAGAGATGCTCGTTATGTAGATACAACATTTCTCGGGTTACAGCAACCGATGTCAAGCACCATTCAAAGCATAGTTATTTCGTTATATCAACAACATACAGCATAAGTGCTCTTTAACACACGTTTTTCTTGATTCTATTCAAAAGATGAAATTAGAATTGTCAAAGGACACTGATAAATCTAACCGCGACTTGCGAGAGTTAGACACACTCCAAAGTGTTGTTTACCAACAAATCGAAAACATTAAACAAGACTCCAAAATCCCAAGAAGCGTGTTTTTAGTATACTAAGTATTGCGGCGGATCTAGTAAGAAGAAGAAGTCTTTGCTTATAAACTTAACAGAATTCGTTGCTAGCATTGACTGAATTAAAAGAGAAAGTTCTTGTGCATGAACTTAACTGAAATTCTTGGCGAACATTGACTGAATTAACCGATGAAGTTCTTATTTATAAACTTAACGGAAATTTTTGCTATCATTGACTGAATTAACCGAGGAAGTTTTAATTTATAAACTTAACTCAAATTTTTGCTAACATTGACTGAGTTAACCGAGGAAGTTCTTATTTATAAACTTAATGGAAATTTTTGCTATCATTGACTGAATTAACCGAGGAAGTTTTTATTTATAAACTTAACGGAAATTTTTGCTAACATTGACTGAATTAACCGAGGAAGTTCTTATTTATAAACATAACGGAAATTTTTGCTATCATTGACTGAATTAACCGAGGAAGTTTTTATTTATAAACTTAACGGAAATTTTTGCTATCATTCAATGACTGAATTAACAAAGGAAGCTCTTGTTTATAAACTTGTCTGGAATTTATAACTAGCACAAACCTAACCATAATTAAAAAGGAAATTTTAGCTAATTATTTTCAATATGAAGTTAGTAACTCAAACATACAACATGTTGATAGAAACTTAAAGAGTTGCAATCTTTGCGTAAAACCTATCTTAACAAGGTCGGTAGATGCCAGATATAATTATGCAATGTGCAATTATTGAACTGGAACCACAGATACTGCTGTGTTATGGAGCGCTTCTTACATGGAAGGTTATAAGGATATATAGGTCGCGTTCATTTTCAACTTTGAGCTCAAAAGGTCTAAATATTCTCATTGTCTAGGCTACTGTTCTAATGATAAATTTCGAATTATCATGCAAAGTATATCGTTTCAAAAGTTTCAATGATTTTGCGCCACTTGTTATTTTTTAAACAAACAGTTTTACATATCAATGTCAACCTTGTTTTTATTGTTAGAGACGCGGACTAATGTTTATAAGAATTTTTTATTTTCATGTTGTTCAACGGCTTCCATGCACAATCTGTCACATCCATTTGGTATTTCTTAATAGCATAAGCATTTCTTGTTGCTATCCATAATTGAACATTTACGACGTTGACAACGAAGTGTCAAACAAAGAATGTTGACTTCCATATATAAAGCTGAATAAGAGCGACAGGAAACAAAAACTTTAAAATTTATTGCACCATGCCTGGTCAAAATTTAGCTTTTAGAGTACTTTCCACAAACTACATAGATTCTTTAGAAATTAAAACATCTGTCAACGTTACTCTTATTTTTAACTTATTATTGAAGAATGGCACGCCATGGCTCGTCATCATCTGTTGATGCTTGGTTAGTGCTGATGATCAACATACTCAAATTCTTATTCTCAATTGACTGGTAATCTTCTTGATATTCATTAGCCGACTATTCAGGCTAAAAACTAGCATAAACAACAACAGTCCTTCTCAGGACTATACCAACCTGGACGATCTACATCCACAAACATGTAACGATACTCTCGGGCTCAAACCATTTAATTTTTTACGAATTCTATTTGTTGGATATCCTTCCATATCACTTTCAAAACTATCGAGAAAAAAAATTGTACGTGTTTTTTTATTGTTTAAGTGCCATGCTGTGTAACATGACCATTGAACATAACTTTAAATTTGTAAACAGCTAGCTCAAATTTTTTTGTTGATATGACGTAAAAAGTAATTTCCTTTGACGTATATGGCGCTCTACGCTACTAAGTCTCCAATCAGTTCAACAAGTGCATTTAAATAGCTACGTGTTTCTTTAAAGAGAAAGTAGCTGATGTAAAATTTTCAAACTATGGTGACCTTTGCATACTAATACAGTTTTGATAGTGACGTTGTCATAAGGTGGATTTGTCCTTTAACGGACATTCTTTCCTAGTGTTGACCGAAATAAAAGAGGAAATTCCTCGTCGTTAACCAACCAAAAAAGGAACTTTTTATTTTTATTGATCTAACTAGTATTGAATGAATCAAAAGAAGTTCTTGTTTTGTGACATGACACAGCTAAATTACAAGATTGAACTCATTCTCTTCACTCAGAGGTTAATATAGAATAATGTAAATATAGAAACCTTAAGCATATTACTTCTTTGAAAGAGTTATATAAAAAATCTTAAGGGTTATTCAAATGCCTCGTATTTTATTAAGTTTCTTTATATTGACACGTCCTCAATCAAATAAACTTTGAGTGAAAGACAAGCGAATTAACTGACCATTTATTCATAAACAATGTTTTTTTTATTAAAAAAAAAAATTATTCTGCCGCCCACCTCCAAAGACTTGCTTGATTGAAAAGTTTGTAGTGAAATTACGACTTCAAGTGCGAGTGTAATGTAGAGATGCTCGTTATGTAGATACAACATTTCTCGGGTTACAGCAACCAATGTCAAGCACCATTCAAAGCATAGTTATTTCTTTACATCAACAACATACAGCATACGTAGCTTTTAACACACGTTTTGCTGGATCCTATTCAAAAGATGAAATTAGAATTGTCAAAGGATACTGTTAAATGCTTTTTAATTGCATCAATTTTTAATAAACAGTCTTTATATCAATGCAAGCTTTGTTTTGATGTTGCTCCCTTTATACGGTGACGTCATGAAGAGCATTTAATTGGAAATTTTTGAAGATCTCGGTTCTTTTTTTAGCAAAACACAACGCTAACTGTAATGCCTTGTGCTTTTATTATAAGTCTTTCTTATTTTTAAATTGTTTTCTTAAAAATCTATAACATCGCGAGCAAGCTATCAGTGAAATACATCGTATTTAACAGCCACATTTAGTTTGTTACCAAAATATCACAATAAGTCTTTAATCATTAATTTTGTGTTAATCAGCTAGTGTTGTTGTTTTACGATAAATAAAGGCCTGTTTATTAAAGAGTAAATGTTATGTTGCAAATCCTTCAAAACTACCGATTTAAAGTTTGAGTCAATTTTGTAAACTTCTTCCAAGTTGAGTGAATCGACTTTAAAATTGAAACACTGTCCAGTTTGTGGCTATGTGTGCAAACTGTTCAACATATTTAAACTATTTAAAGCAGTTCAATTATCTGCTGAAACAAATTAGTCTGTATAAATATGCAAAGTTTCTTTATCCTCACAATTTATTTATGCTGGACAACACACATATATAAAGAGCCTCGATCTTCAACTCAACCTGAAGTGTTTACTTGTAAGACATTTAAACAAGACAAGTGGTGAGCTTTATTTGTGCGTTGATGGCGATTAGCTGCATTGTTGTTAATATTCAAGGGTAAGCTATGGTTTAGTGTAAAGAACTAAGAACTTGAAATGTTTAATGCGCTTTGTTGAACGCAAAAGACTGTGTTAGAAACGCTTCTATGGCGTATTTCTTTTAAATTTGAATAACCTTTTAGTACAAGTTGTCGAGTTGTAGTTAACATTCAATCCTGGGGCAGTATACAAACATGATTAACTAAGGATTTTTCAAATCAGCTCAAGCCAAGTTTTTCTTGTTTAAATTGTGTATGGGAGGAGTAAGACTTTATATACATTACACCTTTTTAGTAAGTTGTTAGCTATGTCATGTATATACTGGATATAAATCTTTCTCAATTCCTTATTTATAGTGTGAAATATTTCATCTAAAAACTTTTCCATGACTCACTTTACCGTTCTTACTTTTGCAGAGTGAGATCAACAAACGAAAAGGAAGATTATTTAAAAGATTTCTACTCAACATTCAGCCATAACTTGAAACGCACCATAAAATCCGATAAAAACAATGCAACTTTGAAATCACAAATTGCAATAATAGACGGACAAATAAAACACTTCAAACATATCACAAGAATCTTCAAACCCAGCACAAACATCTGCAAATCTTTAAGTTAAGTCTTCAACACAAAATCAATAGGACAGAAGTACAAACATATACACTAGTGAAATTACAACAAAAATTAAGAAAGTTGACTTGAAAATGATTGATCTTTCGTCACAAATGAAAACTTGATGCCCAAAGGGCAACATTACAAACGGAGTTAAAAAGTCTTGAAAAAAAATTGAAAACACTTTACATGGTAAATGAAGAACTTACAAATATTTCGGAAAAAGGTAAGAATGATTTTAAAAAAAGAAAAGACACTTATAGATTCGAGTAAGGAGTAATATTTGTCCAATAAAAACAATATCTTTCATTTAATTTCTCTGTGTTAGTTAATATTTTTATAACCATCAGGAAAAGACTGCTCAGATCTTTACAGAAAAAGTGTAAGACACAATGGAATATACGAAGTAGATCCTGATGGTAAAGGATACTTTAAGGTCTTCTGTGACATGACGTCATCAGGTGGTGGTTGGACTGTTATTCAAAGACAAATAAAAATGGAAATACAGACTTTATCTGGGTTGGGCGGAGTATAAACGTGGCTTTGGTAATCTTAAATCCGAATTCTGGCTTGGATTGGACAAGATACATCGACTAACATCTGCAAGGAAATATAAACTTCGAATTGATCTTGTAAACACGTCAGGCACTAAAAAATACGCTGAATATGAAGATTTTGTTGTAAAGGATGAAAATTATAAGTATCAATTAAGTATTGGAAAATACACAGGTAAGAAAATATTGACGAAAATGAGTGTTTGTGATAGCAAATTGTGTTGACAGATTGTACCTTAGGACCAGTTCATATGAGACGGGCCAGTCCGCTTATGCCGGCTAGGTAGCTTTGCCGAGATCTCGCCTCGTATATTATTTTACAATTTTTTTGAAATTGCGTTCATATGAAGAGCGGGCCAGCCCAGCTTGACGAGATACGCTTGAAGGAAGCGAGGTTCTAACAGGCTCATATAACTGCATCAATTGGGCCAGCCCGGCTAAACAGGGCTGGAAGAGATGAGATTGGGCATTCCCTTGTCTTGTTTGGTTATTTAAACATGACAAAAACTTCAAAACAATAATGTGCAATTGAAAATAAATTTGAAAATTTCATGTTATACCACTACAATAATCGGTGGAACTCACTGGTAGCAATCAGATTGTTGAATGTCTGAGTCAAACACAATTTAATTTTCCCACAAAATACAATGTTTGTTGGCAGAAATTAAATACAACATTTCAGCCTGGCCAGCCGCCTCATATGAATGCGAATACAAATTGGTCCTGCAAGCCAGCTAGTCCAACTTTAAGTGGTTTTAACGTTTTAAAATACAAATCACCAGAAAACTATAGAACTATTTCTACTTTTCAGGAACTGCTGCGGATCAATTATCCTATCACAATAACATGAAGTTTTCAACCAAAGATTCAGATAATGATAAAGATAGTAGAAATTGCGCTACTTCCTTCAAAGGTGCTTGGTGGTATAAAAGTTGTTATGGTTCCAACCTAAATGGTAAAATATGTATTGGTCTAGTTTTAACGTGAAAACAAGTGAAATGAAAATTAAACCATGATGACTTTTCATAAATAACTGCAGTTTTTAGTTTTACCATGCTGTAAGCTGCCTTCTTTAGTGGGCTGCCTTCTTTAAAGGTTATTTTGTAATTATTATACTTTATTCTTCATGGCATGACTTACACATTCATATAGCACGTTGTGTTTTTCAAGACAAATCATAAAAGCAAAGGATTGATATCTGATTCCTCTTAAATTAAAATTTGCAAAGATGATCGTCATGAAATTAATTGTACTTGCTTTATTGGCTTCTTTGTACCGTTAAAATTACCGTTAAAATTAACACAAGACTTCATCCTTATGTTAGAGAGATAAAAAACGCTCGTTTTTCCTCACATCACATCCAAAATTTATTTCATGCTTTTTCAATTTTATTCCTTTATGGGCAGTGGCTTAGCCAGCCCTCAATTTATTCATAATACGTAATTTTTTATCATCAGCATCATTTTTATTCATTCATAGTATTATGAACAATAAATTGTTTACATAGCAAGAAGAAACTTGCAGGTTTGCTACGCCACTGATCATGTGTTAGTTTCATGATGTACGTATATTTTTCATTATTTCCTTATGTGTAAAATTAAACACTATTCCTATTAATCCTATCATGTAATTTAATGCAATGTAATTTTTTAATTAGATTATTTATTCAGCTTGTTGTATCTAAGACTGTTGAAGATGTCTTATGTGCTTCGACAAAGAAATGTCTTCAATGAAAAAACTTTCATGCTACAAATTTATTTAAAAAATGCACGCTTTAAAATATATAATTATTGGGCTTACCTCTTAATGATATCCCATTATATTTTTATAGAAGATAAAAGAATGGAATATGCCTTATTTTGCTTAGTATATCTTACAACTTAGAGCATGTTAGCTACCCATAAAACACTGAGCATGACAATTAAGGCTTCCTTTGTGCAAAGGGAAAACGATTTTTCTTGTTGAGTCAGCACAATAAACAAGTGTTTCTCAAAATACATGAAAAAGTCGATGCTTCTTTAAAGAACTACAAAAAACTTTCTTACTGTTATTAAAAAAATCATGAAAAATAGCAAAAATATACCACCTAATGTGGAAAAGATTATTTAAAGGCATTTGACTTCACCGCAGCCTTTAATGTAAAAAATATTGGGACAAATTCGTTTCTTTGACAACAAGCCAGATGAAACTATAAGAAAAAGTAATTTATTTTCTTTGAAAATGCGTTTGCCTTTTTTAGTGATATATTGCTTCAGCTGTCGTTTGTTCTGTGCACTTTCACCTACGTCTTACTTTGAAATTGATGTTTTTTTAAAGAACTTATCATTAAACTTGTGTATTAAAATAACATTTATAATAAAAATAGCACTTTGTTGTACCCCAAAAGCTTTAATTTGCATTCACTTGACAATAAAAATACTTTTCGGGCATTATTGCAAATATATTATGGCTGTAGATATCGTAATTAAAAACCCATTATGGCGGGACTTTAGCGAAAATTGATTTTAGCTCACAAAACAAAACAGGACGTCTTTAACAGTTACTTTATTTTAAATGATTTTGCAAAGTTTTTACGTTTTTAATTAATACAGACCTGGTGGTTTTAGCAATCAATTATTAACCACGATATGTGAAACGAAGACATATTTGAGTACTTAATGATTAATAACTTAGTAGTTTTAACTTAATGCGTTGTCTATCACATAGGATATAAATAGTGTGAACAATGTTTTAAGATAATGTTCACCAATACAACAATTTATCAATTATCATGAAGAAAAAATATTTCTACAAGCTTAAGCCTCCTGGATTTAAAGAAAAATCAGCTCTTATGGCCTTACAGCTAGATTGCCTAAAATATCCCAAAGTGCTTTATTATGTAATCTAAGAATAGTTTACATGCAGCTGTGCATGTACAAAATATAATTTATCCTTCATGATGGTGGCTATATAAATGTTCTCAATTTTCCTGTCTGTTGTTTTTCGTTAACATGAAAATGACAACCTTGCCATTTTGATTTCTTACTAAAGTAGCACACTACTGTACATTTTAATCTCAAAGAAACAATTGTACATGTCATATTTAACGCTTGACTTATATTCTAGCAATGCAGTAACAGAAACATTGTGGTTAGAATGACTATAAACAAGGCTATGATAATCTTAGTTCTGAATTCTTGCTTGGATTGTATGAAATACGCTAACATCAGCAAGGCAAAATAAACTTTGCGGTGACCTGAGAGACTGGTCAATTAACAAAAAACATGTTGAATATAATAACTGTTACATGTTTGTAAATGTAGATCGTCCAGTTTGGCATAGTCCTGAGAAGGACTGTTTTTGTTGTTGTTGACTGACGTTTCGACAACCTTAGCGGTAGTCATCTTCAGAGTTCAATGAGGAGTAAACGTCAGGTTAGCCGTATTTTTTAGCTGGTTCTTACCTCATTGTATTGTGTGTACAGGAAAAGTGTGGGTGTCAATTGTGTATTGTCATTGTGAATTAATGTGAAGTGTAATGTTTTTAGTTGATCGTTTGTTTGTATTGTGAATAAGTCGTTTGTAAGGTGCTGGTAATTGCTGTTATCTGTTCAGGGGGGTTTGTTCAAAGTTGGTATACCAACTTTCTAATGTAAGCCGTTGTCTATAGTCAGTACTGTAAGTAATGCATTTTGCCGAGTCCCAGTCAATGTTGTGCTTTGTGATTCGGTGATGTTCGGCAATGTGATTAGTTCTGTCTCGTTTCTTTGTACCTCGTTTGTGTTCAGTAAGTCTTATGTTTAAGTTCCTGCCAGTTTCCCCGTTTCACAAGTTCGAGACTGGACTAATGTTAAGGACTGTGAGTGAAAACAATATAGCAAATGATTTTAAAATGATTGGATGTCATTGTTTAATTCACGCTTTGTCATTTTGTCTCAATTTAAATTAATTTCGTTATTATAGCTAATGGACAAGAAAATGAACGAAGGAAGATGACAGGTGTCTTTAAACATTTCGAATAATAAAAAATAGCAAAAAAATGTATGCAACACAACTGCAATTTCACGAAAAGAAAAATGTGATTGCTCTTTTTTAATGTTTTTCGTGAAATGATAAACCTAATCATTAAAAAATTATAATTCTTTATGTTGAAGGATTTTCCCCAGCTATAGGAGTTTCTTTGTTGTTCTTTCATAATCGCTGTGAAGTATAAAACCTTTTATCACCTTATGAATTAGCTATATGCATGCATTTTTAGACTCTCTTTTAATGAAATTTTATTCTTTGAAACATTCTTTTAAACATATAGGTTCTATGTATTTTAATACTATAGAACTTCAAGAGTGAGATAATTTTTTCTTTAAAATGCTTTTATCTTTTTAGTGATATATTACTTAACGCTTCATCTGTTGTTTGTTCTGAGCACTATCATATACGTCTTACATTGACGTATATGTTTTTGTAAAAGAGCTTATCATTAAGCTTATCAAAACAGCACGTCATTGTCGGGTAAAAGCTTTTTAATTTCAGTCCAATTTGAAATAAAAACATTTTCCGGACATTAACACCATCATCATATAGCTAGATATCGCGTAAAAAACCCCTTTTATATGGTACGTACTTAGCCCAAAATTAATTTTAAACGAAAAAAACAAAACAGGAGAAGTCTGTACAACAGTTCAGTAATTTGAGAATGAGGTTTTTTGCAAAGATTTTTAAACTAGAAACGTTTGTAATTAATACAGACCTGGTGTTTTATTTATTATTAACAATAATTTGTGAAAGGAAGACATATTTGGGTACTTAATAATAAAAAAGCTAAGTTTTAACTAACTCATCTATATATATTTTGTCACATAGGTAAAATTAATGTGTACATTCTTTAAGATAATGTTCACCAATACACCAATTTATCAATTATCTTCAAGAAAGAAATATTTCTACAAGCCTACCCCTCATAGAATTAAAGAAAAATCGGCATTTATGGCCTTATAGCTCTATTGCCTAAAAAACCCCAAAGGGCTTTATTATGCAATCTAAGTAAAGCATACATGCAGCTGTGCATGCACAAAATATAATTTATTCTTCATGATGGTGGTTATATAAATGTTGTCAAAAAAGTTTTTCAAACACAAAGTGTTTACTTTTTTTTTATGCAAGATATTGATGCGCGTTTCTGTAGTTTTTTTTAGTTGCTTTTTGCAATGCATCACATAATGCTTGTCAAAGCGTACAAAGTGGTTTTATGAAGACAAAAGACAATGGTATGTTACAGTACAAAAGACAACAACATCGTCTAAAGATGTCTTTAACAGTTACTTTATTTATAAATGATTTTGCAAAGTTTTACGTTTTAATTAATACAGACCTGGTGGTTTTAGCAATCAATTATTAACCACGATATGTGAAACGAAGACATATGAGTACTTAATGATTAATAACTTAGTAGTTTTAAGTTAATGCGTTGTCTATCACATAGGATATAATTAGTGTGAACAATGTTTTAAGATAATGTTCACTAATACACCAATTTATCCAATTTATCAATTGTCAACCAGCAAAAATATTTCTACAAGCTTACGCCTTTAGGAATTGAATATAAATCGCTTTTATCGCCTTAAAACTTTCCCAAAATATCGGAAAGTGCTTTTTTATGCAATTTAGGTAAATCAAACACAGCTGCATGTACAAAATATACATTATTCTTTATGACGGTGGCTATATAAATGTTCTCAAAAACGTTTTTCAAACATAAAGTGTTTTCTTTCTTTTATGCAAGATGTTGATGCGCGTTTCTGTAGTTTTTCTTTTAGTTGCTATCTGCAATGCATCGAATAATGCTTGTCAAAGTTCACAAAGTTTTTTTATGAAGATAAAAGACAACGGTAAGCTACAGAGTAAAAGATAAAATAAATGTTTTGGAGGATGTAAAAAACTAGTATGTTTTAAAACGCGTACCTGCAGGTTACATTTGTAGTTGTTTAATTGCAATAAAGCTTTCTCATTTCTATTTTATACCGTTCTGGCAAAATGTATTAGCAAAACTGAACAAGCGAAGATAGTATTTTTCATATATGTTTTTCTAATCTAAAACGAAGCGTTCTATCTAGCATTGTTGCTCTCGCTGTTTTGGCCTTCAATTCTTTACGTTTGATCGTTAGTAAAATACATGTAATTGTGTCATTGATAAGAATAATAAAACAGGTAAGACTCCGAGACTTGTAGCTCGACTCAGTTCCGTACATTGTTTTTTGCTTAACTTTTTGCGTTCTATAAATATTTGCTTTACGAAATTTGTTTACGTTTCTTTGCAAAAATGGACCTACAAAACAGATTTTGAGCTAATGAAGGCACGCTAGTTTACTGGAAATGATACCAGCCATATAATAAAAGAAATTAATGTATTTAATTTACATGAGACGTCTGTGTTGTCTAGATATATAAATTCACCCTCCCCAATAACGTTCTAGTTCGTCCCTGCTTCCATGCTAGTCTTAGCCACTTGTTTAGAAATAGGATAACGTTGCAGAGTTGCTGAATGTAAACTTGGATCCATCAAAGCGATAACACGACAAATATTGTATCAAGAAAATTTTACCTAGTGGTCACTCAAATCAACAAAGCAATCTACTTGTAGAAATACTGAGTTTTGGTTTATTCTGAAGTTTTGAAAGTTGTTTTATGATGAAGGACAAAACCATAAGAACAATTATATAATGTTTCATCGATCCAGCGATTCCTTAAATATGTCTTATTACATTACACTGAAAACTGAAGCAAAATTTACCAAAGTTTTTTGTTTCAAATAAAATATAAATTTTTATACGAATTTAAATATTTTACATTTGTGTACTTTACTTTTCACTTTATGACGTTATTAGGGTCCTGTAAGCAGATGTATTATAAACCTACAGTGTGAGTTATCATCATGAATAATGAAACAGTAATAATCCCAATGTCCTCACTATGTCATGGTAAAAATTTTTGCAAAAGCATCTACATATGCATATATACCTCTAAACCATATCTTGATTGATATTTGAACAACAATTCCTATCGTAATAGCTCCCAAACCCACAAAAAATAATTATGATATTTATTTTGCTGTTTTATTAACATTTATCAAATCAATTCAACAGCATTCTAACACATTTCAGATCATTGATTCTTATTTATTATTTTGCGTCTTCTGATGTGAGATTAGTACATTCTGTCTAACGTCATGAATCTATGCTAATAAGTAATAAGTCTGCCTGCTTCAAAATGAACATACACTGTAGTTTAAAAAAATTTAGATTTGAAATGTCCATCTCTGTAGATAGTAAACAGAAGCAAAATTAGATTTGAAATGTCCATCTCTGTAGATAGTAAATAGAAGCAGGCAGACTTCTCAGCTTCAATTTTTGACTACAGTATGATCTTCGGCTGTTTTCCCTTTCTGGTGTATGTTACCAATTAAATCAGAAAGCCGACAAGGACACATCAATATTTTGAACTTTTTGCTATTTCCTTCTCATGAAATGTTTGGAATAAACCAAGACTTAACAAAACTGCTGTTAGGACGGTATAAATTTGACGAGGCAATGTTTGTCGTGTTATTTTCCAGCTTTGATGCATCGAAGTTAACTTCTAAAAATTCTGCAATGTCATCCTATTTCTAGAAAAGAGGAAAGAACTAGAGGTTAGATATTAAAAACATGTTTGTACATATAAAATAAAAACAAACCAAAATGTATGAAAGGAGTTCTTTTTTTGGTTTATTATAATTAAAATTTGAATGAACGTAATATCTGTGCGAATGGTCGGCCGATGCTAAAAATAAACGCTAGCCAAAATTTTTTACGGTTTTTTTTGATCAGTTGTAAACTTTTATGATTAGTTCTACCCTTATCCAAAAACAAAAACCTTCTCTTTCAGGCAAAGTTACGGGAGCTTGCGCTGACAGAATTAATACGCTGGGACTTGTTTAAGAACACTGCATTTGACCTCATAAAGTCAATTATTCTTATTGAACATTCAGGCATACTTACACAATAGTGTTTCATTGCTATACATAAGAAATAAGTCGTAATGCTATGATTTCTAAAATTTTAAATCATTCCATGATTAAAGAATCTACCTGCTATACTTGTAGCTATGGTTCTTTTCAACATCAGTGTAAATGTAATAGTAGCTTTTCAAATGAAGCTTTAAGTCCGAAATTATACAGCCATGAAGCTGGTCTTTTATTTAAGAGTAGCAAGGGCAATGTACAGTACTGATCTTATATGTTTACTTTAAACATGACGGCTAATATTTAAATTGTATAAAAATCTTTATGATTGAGGAAATATTTATCAAAAGCTTCAGAAGCAAGAGCAATAAAAGTGGTGATATACGAAACACAGTGTAGAAATTATAGGGAAATATTATATATTTACCATTGTGTTATCACCCTATATTTCATGATATTTATATAAAATGTTTCCATCTAAGGTTTAAACGTTGATAATTTATTGGTTAATTTTGACGAGCGAAGATAATCTTTCACTTTCTTTTGCTCCATGACTCATTGCATTTTATAAATCTTGTTATTTCTTTTTTGTATTTTTGACTATAAAATAGACTTTGTTATCTTTTTGTATTATTTACACCTTTTGTAATTGATCCTGTTTTGTTCTTTGTTTTAAAGGTGAGACGTTATCACCAAAAGATATCATTTCAACTCATGCTGTTCACAATGACATTGAATGTTCCATGAAATGTCATCAACAGAAACTATGTGTTGGCTTTAATTTCTTATTTGATGCAAAAGAATTTGAGATAAACTGCCAAATTACCAACAGAAAAACCCAGAAATATGGAGAAACTAGCCTCAGAAGGCAAATGGACTTTTATGAATCTCATGCATTGGTAAGAAAAAGAAAGTGGTTGATTTGAAAATGTTTGTTAAGTGGGTATTATGTGTTAATTTTAAATATATTGTTAACGCTTATTTTTTCCTGATAAGCATTGTGCAAAACTATATAAAATCTGACTTAAAGTACTAATTAAAAGAAAATGCCCAATCAAGTGTCTATTTTAGGTTACTGAATTTAATTCGATTTCGAGAAAAGAATGCAATTTTAAAATTCATACGATTTCGAGGATAAGAATGAAATTGTGCCAATTTTAAATATGTTTATTTTAATCTTAAAATGTTTTGAACAGCTATTTGGCACAATGGATCTATGTAGGAAAGCTTTTCATAACAATTTCTTTGGATGCCTAATGATTTATAACCCGTAGGAAGTTCAATGCAATAGATTTTTCAATAATATTTTATAGGCAAAAGACTGTGCAGATCTATACATGAAAGGAAAGAGGAAGAATGGAGTTTATGAAATTGATCCAGATGGCCAGGGCAGTTTCAATGTTTTCTGTGATATGACAACATCTAGTGGAGGTTGGACTGTGTTTCAACGTCGTCAAGATGGAAGTGTAGACTTTATCGAGATTGGAGGGATTATAAGAATGGTTTTGGTGATCTGAAAGGCGAATTCTGGCTTGGATTGGATAAAATATACAGACTAACATCAGCAAGGAGAAATAAACTTCGTGTTGACCTTGGAGACTGGTCAGGAAACAAAGCATATGCTGAATATGATTATTTTGCTGTAGAGAATGAAGCAAATAAATATAAGTTGAGTCTTGGTGCATATTCTGGTGAGTCAATAAGTAAATGTAAACATTTGATGGACAAATTTCTAAGCCATTTTTTGATATAAGCATTATACGTTGTAATGATTCGAGTTTGCGTGGGCAGGTCAGCAATTTTGGGAAAAACATAGATATTTTAACGGTTGACTTTGAGCGGAAGTCTTGTTAGATCTTAAAAAATATAATCAATTTGATATTACGAACAAAATACATTGAACAAACATAAAAATCATTTTGTTGTGTGAATCATTAAGTTGCACCCTACGACAACAATTTTGACTTACAAAAGAGATCATTCATGGATTGTGCTTACCGTATGATTAAGATTAAATGAAAATTCAATTGAAGCTTTGTAAACAAGTAATGAGCATGCGCCTGAAACATTGCTAAATTATGTGGACTTAAATAAACATTAAAACCTTTTATATAAAATATATGCAAACCTGTAATATATAATATTAAATTCAGGCTTCCATTCCAAGATTTTTTATATATGTATAAATAAAAAAATGATAGCATAATGCTCTATCCAACAACTACAAACAATAACGACATTATCTAACAACATTTGCAAAATTAACCTTCCACTCCTGTTCCTTTTAGTCCTAGAATTATACTCTGCTATACTGGTCACAAGCTCAGGACTTGTAATTAAGGCTCTCTGCTTTTGAATAGACTTGTCTTGTTTACAAAGAAGAGGAGTGGAAGTTTAATTTTCAAATGTTGTTAGATAAGGTCATTATTGTTTGTAGTTGTTCGTTAAAGCATTATGCTATTATTCTTTTTGTTTCATAACATTCCAACTATTTAACCTCAAGAATAGGTATAAATAAATATAATATATTTATACATATATAAACGTTACTGAAATTCATTCAATTATACGTGGATAAATTTACATATAGAAGAATGAAAACATAAATGTAAATTAAGTCTCGGACAACACTACAGGTATATCATCAAGTCAATAAAGAATTTTAAGGTCTATTATAATAAAATTAAATACCATTCATTACTTAACATAGGAGTGAGAGCAATGAGTTAAGGCTAGGATGTGGAAATAATGTTCTGGGAAATGAAAGTAGGATCAAAGTCAAAGTCTTGACAAATTTACCTTTGCAATTTATTTATTCCATTTTGAAACAGGATTTATAGCAATTGTTAAATAAGTCAGCTATAACAACTTTATGACAAACGGTAGCAATGTTATAATGTGATTGTCGTTGGATGTCCCACATGCACCAGAATATGTGAAATGAAAACTCAGTGTTATATAACATATTTTAACACTTACATCATTCCTTCCTCTTTTCTACATAAAATAAAAAAACTTATTGGCAAATCTCACAAAAGCCCCCCAAAAAACCGCTGTAGGAATCTTCTAACAATGACATAAAACCCATTTTGGGAGAGTTTCTGCAAGTTCAGAAGAATTCTATAACTGCATAAAATGCGAACTTTGAAAGGTACTACTTTTGTAGGAAATGCTAGCAATTCATTATCTTGTCATAAAGCCAAGGCGTTTTCAACAAAAGATTCAAATAATCATCAAAGTGCAGGAAACTGTGCCACTGACTGGAAAGGAGCTTGGTGGTATTGTTATGATAACTATTGTTATGACTCTAACCTGAATGGACACTACTATAGTGGCAACCAAAACAATTACAAAGGTGTGACTTGGCGACAATGGAAAGGTGGTAAATCCTTAAAGTTCACTGAGATGAAAATAAAACCATAAAGAATTTCCAAAGCTGTAATGTCATAAATTTGATCACTATTTCTAATGAAACTTTCAACATATAATAACAAAAAATAACTTTTATGTCTTTTAAAGATCCTTTATAATCATTATTATTTAAAAAAGCGTTGAAAAAATAGTTAAAAATACTGTGGTGAAATAATAACTTTCTAATATTTTTGCTAAAATTAGAGCTGATTGAGGTAATTATGTGATTCTAATGTTATGTCTTTTCACTCATTTCTTTAATGAGATGTTGCTCTGTATGTAGATAATTTTATATTTTCACCTCGTTCCACGCAATCTTGGTGTATCATGCATTTCATGCAATTATCTTACATCATTATTCACTATTTAAGCAATGTCGCTTTTGATTGGTCAACTACCTGCAAATAATTCTACATATCTGTAGGTAAGACGTCTATTTACAAATAACAGTTTCTACAATTATGGACGTCATTAAGAGCCGGTTTCGAAAAAGTCAAATCATAGCGATGTTTTCCACAGTTTCTAAAACGATGTAAAAGCTTTGAAACAAGAAGCATCCAGAAAACACTAAAAAAGCGGCTAAGATGGCTTTGAACGTGCTTACAACATATTTAAACAAGATGAACTTGAATAAACCAGCTGACAAAAAAATTAACGAAGGTTTGAAAAATGTTCTATATTGATATGTGTTAATAATATTTCAGTTAGTTAAAGTGAATAATAAAACAATTATTGAACTTGGCTTTCGTAGTTATGATTTTAAAAATTATTCAGACCTCGGCAACGTATTCTACCTCAGCTTTGCTTCTGCAGATAACATTGACCTTGGTCTGAATAATTTTTGATATCATGCTCAACCTCATCCAAACAATTGTTTATTATCTGGCTCGTCAGCAATCTTGTTCCTTCCAAAGAGAATGGTTGCACACCATATATAAACCGCGTTTACACTGCGGTCTCGTAACTTACCAAGGACTGACTAGGCCTCCAGTGTAAATACATCAAGCTTGACCTAGGACTCACCAAGGACCGACGTTTTAGCCCCATCATTGCACGTAGTCCTAGGAAAACTTACACAATTTAGAAGACACTAGAATCTCGCCACAAACAGTACATCCCGTTAAAAGGCCCGGTGTACTATGTTTGATAATTTATATCGTTACATCTATCTCCTCATAAGGAACAAAACAAGGTTACAATTTGAAGGACGAAAGAGTAGTTTTCATAAAAATTGGTAATCACATGTAGAACGTTCATTGTAATGTACGTCCTATAGAAAATTTTCTTTTGACTGAGGCATCCGATGTGTTGGTTTCTGGTCGTGCCTAATTGGTTTCTATACCAACATTTGTGGACGTGTCTTGCGTAGAGAACTTGGCTGCACCGGTTGCTCATTTGGGTCTTCGGACTCAGATTGTTCATTTTCTTCCTCGGTACGCTCTTTATCAATCTTACCCTTTCTTTAACGGACGCCAGATGTCTTCTGTTCCGTCTTCATATTCAGCCTTCCGAAATAACTTGGTACGACCTGGGTGCAAACTTCTGGTTACACACTCCTTTCCTTCATGTCCTGCACGTCTGGTCTGGTCGTATACGCACTGTTTCTCCTGGGTTGAGATCTATTAATGGCTTGCTGCAACGGTGGTAATATTTCGCTTGTTTTTTCTTTTGTTTGTCAACAATTTCTTGACTCGATGGGTTAATTTGGCTTCAATAGTTTCAATGCCGTGTGGAGAAGCGTTTTTGTTCACATAGCCTACTATATATGTACGTGGATAAATAGTCCAGTTTAGTTTACATATCAGTGGCTTAATTATCCTCTACCAATAGCAAAATAAATAAAACAACATTACAACACCCAATCAAAATTATAAATGTTGAAGAAAATAATCACATTGCTGAAACAGTTTATCGTTCTCTTAGTGGATTAAAGTCATCTCCGAATCGTTAGGAATGAAATGAGTAATTTAGAGGAAAAATAGTCAGCGTCGTTCTCGTTGACAAAGCGCGCTAAAAAGAAAAGCAATGATGCGCATGCGTATTAATTTTATATTGCAGTACCCAGCTATTGTACCCAGAATGCTCGCTCTGCAATCTTCAGAAACGTTGTGAATATCAGTGGGACTAGAGTTGAAGATTTTTGTCAGAACGTAACATCATGCAGCAGAGGAAAATATCCCAGTTTTAAAGAGGAATGATTTGTTAATCACTTTGAAAATACAAGTTCTTATTAAACGTCTTGTAGAATTGTCGTGTTGCTTGCAAAGGCCAAGAGAATCGATACAATACTGGCATATTCAACTAATTCAAATTAGATCATCGATGTCAGGTTCTCTAAAAGATCACGATTTAAATAAGGCATGAGCGTACAAACATAAATAAAAAGACATGTTGTACACTACTGAATATACAACAACTGACATTACTTCAACTAATATCTTTATAAAGTATATATTTATAATTGCCACGTTTGTGTTTATTACGGTTCCTTTGAAACTAAAGAATGAATTAATTATCAATGTCAATAGCTTGCTGAAACCAAAAATGAGAACATCAACACAAGCTACTTTTAGAAATGGATAATTTCGGTCAATTTGTGAGGTAGAAGTTTATAGCTACATACCTTGATGGTGGCTATGTTTCAAGTGATGTTTAGTTTTTTAGTTCTCAAGTTTTAGTCCAGCTTTTCATCATCCTTATTTATGTCTATATAAATTCATTGTTTTTACCGTGAGTATAAACACAGAGAGATCGACAGCAGGATTACATGAGTATGCTGGCGATACGAACTGAAATAAAACATTTTTCTCATTTTGGCCACGTTCAAAAAATAATGTCCTGCACATTTATTATTTTAAAGTAGAAGTTTCAAAAATTCGTGTTGATAACGTTAACATGTTCGTAATTGCATGTGTTGTTTGTTATGACACAACAATTTCCTTCAATGTACGTGGAAAGTTGATATTAACAATAAAATTGCTGTTCGGGATAATAGACTTTTATTTTTATAATTTTTATACTGGAGACAGCTGGGGGGAATTATTGCCAGTTTGGTTCAATATAGCTGCAACGTAAATTGTTTTAAGAATGGTCAACGGCGAAATACAGCTTGTAATCAATTTTACTGCATCAAAAGTAAGTACACAAAATATAGCTATATTTGAGAATGATCTGTATCGAGTGCCACGTTTTAAAGGTTTCTTTTAAGTCGTGTATGAATAAATTACTTAATTTAATTGAGTGCTGAGACAGAATGTGAAAACAAGAATACATATCACTTGTGGACAGGAAAACAGCTGGGTTGAGTTTTAGGCACAGAAATTTATATACTTTGTAAATTTGTTGTATTTTATACAACAAAATATCAAATAAGTAAACAACAGGATGTGTAATTAACTACAAATTCCAAACATATGATGCAATATTGTCAGTTTGAAATTGTAGACAAACTGTTGTGTCTGTTGTTCCTTATAAATAGTAAAATTGCTTTTCATACTAAAGAAAAAGAAATCTTTTGTGCAAGTTGATTTACATCAAGGTTTGACTATATACAATAAAATAGTGGCGCAAAATTCGTCTTTTAAACATTGCATAGTCAAGCAGAACTTGTAATAGTGCAAATTCATTGGACGAAACTTCGAGCATAAAATGGCTACTGTCTAAATCTCAAATAATTAAACTCTTTTATTATCAGCTGAAACCAACCTATTCTTCATGAATACTCACATACATAAATAGCGCTTTTATGATCTTGTCCTCACTCCAAACTTGTGGATATCGATCACATATCATAAAATGGTAAAATTTGCTTTTTCGTTGGTCGGTGACATAATATAGTTTAGGGCGTGTTCATATGAGCCGGCTGGCCGACTTTGCCGGACCAGTCTATTATTTTATTTACATGAGGCGTGCTAGCCCAACAATGTACAGTAACAGTTATTTACGCACGCCGCATAAAAGTCCAAATCCCGATACTTTATGTTACTTTTATAAGCTGAAAGAAACTCAATGATGTTATTTATTAGTCTATAGTCCACCGAAAGTTGTTCTTTTGCTTGCCCTATCTTTTGCATCGCAATGAATTTTATGAGCATGCGCACTAATACGATGTTTAATTCGGCATGCCAGTCTAGCCCGTCTTGTGCATTCACGTGAACCCATTTTATGCCGAGATCTTGCCTCGTTTAAGGGACATCCCGGCAAAACGGGCTAGCCCTTCGCTCATATGAATCAAATTTAAAATTATATGTAAATACTAAAAGAGGTGAGATCTTGCTACTGCCGGGCTAGCTCGGTAAAGCGGGCCAGCTCGGCTCATATGAACAGGCTCTTATATACATACACTTGAAGTTCTAAGCACCCAGCTTATAACTTATGTTTAGATTATGTGTATAACTTACACTTTCCATAATTACAAATTGTTTTTCTCTTGCAAATAAGTGTTTCATTAGCGTTACACGAGTTAATTGTATTCAAGTAAATCTTGAATGCAATGAAGCTTGGTATGTTGGCATGGCTACTATGTAAAAGAGAACATGCATGTTAACGTCTGATTGGATCTAGGTGCTCTTACATATTCAGTCATAACAAATATATATAATGAAAGTTTTATTTTGACGAAACTTTTGTAATGGTTCAAAACGTATTATTGAAAAAAAAACTTGTCCGTAGAGCACATTTGAAAGTGGTAGCCGGTTTTTCTTACGGTGGACGTCGAATTATTGTAACGTTGCACTTTATTTAAACAAACATACTTACGTATAGCTTGATCGAATTCATTTATAATTTATTTTGACAGTGGGCGCTGATCCAACCTTGCATCACTTTAATTACAAAACATCTGTCAACGTTACTCTTATTTTTAACTCATTATTGTAGAATGGCACACCATGGTTCGTCATCAACTGTTGATGCTTGGTTAGTGCTGATGATCAACATACTCAAATTCCTATTCTCATTTGACTGGTAACCTTCTTGATCTTCATTAGCCGACTATTCAGGCTAAAAACTGAAATGGCTTACCACTATACGGTTGTCAAAACGTCAATTAACATCAAGAACAATAGTCTTCCTCAGGACTCTACTAGCTTGGACTATCTACATCCACAAACA